AAACGCCAAATTCAGTACACCTAAAATAGCTATGTGGGCCATACTTTTTGATCATGTTTTCCTCTGACCAGTGTTGGTTTCAACCTGTCTGCTCATCAATAGAATCTCCAGCAAAATTGAAAACCGAGTTTAAAAAAGTGACAGAAAAAAAGTGAAAGGAGACAATTCAGTCCATCCTGTGCTTGGTGGTTTGAAGTAGCAAATGGATCCAAGGTTTTCATCCAGTTTTTTCTTAAACAATGTTTTTTGGCGCTGTACTATAATATCCAAGTAAATTAAGTAGAATTACAAACTAGAGTATAAAAGTGAGCTTCAACATGGGACTTAAAAGTGCAAGACCTCATACAGGCCAGGAGATCCTTCCAAAGTCCATCAACCAGTGTGTGGAAGTTCACTTTAGGAACCCAAGGGAGGCCAGAGTCCACAGAAAGCAAACATGGAATATAACAGAGAGTTAAAAGTCCAGTGATGTTTTCAGGAGCCAACCTGCCCTTAACGCTGCACGGCAGTTCTTTGAATTTTATTCTGAAATCCGCAGGGAGCCTGTGGGAGGAAGTGGAAACAGATGACACATGACCGTGGATTTTCGTTTGGATTGGGATCCGAGCAGTGGAGTTGTGAACGTGCTGCAACTTGCTCAGAACATGATTTGATACACCAGCAAGTACTGCATTCCAACAATCAAGCCTTGAAAAGTCAAAAGCACGCATTAGCATTCTCTGTTAGCATTGAATTGGGAGAGACGTGCATTGATGTGTTCAAAGGAACTAGTAAAGGTTTTATTCCGTGCCAAAAAGAGACGAAAAGAGACACAATGTTTCGGCTGTGGAGTCATCTTCAGTTGTGATATGTTCAGTATTCCAAAGACAAATACACATATTCAGCATTGTACTTAAAATGTAAAGCTCAAGTCAAAAATGACACTACGTTTCCTGGCCTCCGTACCATACTTCGACAGATTCCAAGACCATCAATAGTTTAACGAAGCCTGACACATTTGTGGAGTTGATAAGGAAAGTCAATCATCATAAATCCAGTCTTGTAAGAGCCCAGACATGAAAGATTTTGTCGCATGTGTTTTTAACAGTATCTAAGCAACAAATATCATACAGTGCTTGAATAACATTTTATTGTAACATCTGGGGGTCATCAGCTGAGAATGACAGATGATTCCATACCTATGAAGAATCTGACCCAATGGTAACTTATTGGATGATTGTACCCACTATACCCATGCACCATTTAAACTCAACAGCATGTTTTTTAAAAAGTAAATTAAATTTGCTTGTGCTGATGATCTTGAGAAATGCAATGCTTAGCTTTACCCAAAGTCACTTTTAAGTTAAACCACACATAGTTTGTGATTACTATCTAATGTACTATGGTCTATATATATTTGGCTAGATTAATCAAGTACGTATTACTTTATACAGTAAAGGGAAGTCAAAATTGAAAATATGTATTTGCTGACCTTTCAGAAGCGTACAATGTGGCAGGACCCAGATCCCTAGTATAAAATTATTAATTTCCATACATTATTATAAAATGACAGGGAAATATTTTTTGTACGAATGTGCTTTTTGTGCTTAAAAGGTGCGTGACCAGCCGAGATTACAGGGACACATAGTGTAATAAAGACCGTTTACTGTAGTGGACCAAGAACAGGTGGCATGCTATATACTATTTCTTGCATTAGGGATTTCTTTTCGCATACCCCAACTTGCTCTCCATGAGACACACAGACAGGGGGAGAAGCTTGGGGTCAGAGGGCAGGGTCAGCCATTTATATACAGCACCCCTGGAGCAGTTGGGGTTCAGGGCCTTGCTTATGAGCCCAACAGAGTAGGATTCCTCTGCCGGCCGCGGGAACTAAGGTCCGGAACACGAACACACAAAAAAAGAAGCAACGCTCATCAGCAGTTCACGAGTATCGCTAATAAGCTGCTTCTTTACTACGCATCGACCTAAAGCCAGGCTTACCAAACAGCTCACGTGCAGATGCGTGAGATTTTCACTGAACTGCGACAGCCTGCTGTAGAACATTTGCCAATAATACTAAGGTAGCTATTGGCTGACAGTTATTGAAAGGCTGGTGTCTAAATCTCGCTAAATAAGTGCCTCCTGTTCTCAGCGTGGAATGTGTTTTCCCCTGGTTTTCAATTGCATGTTCTGGTTCATGTTTTGATCCTGAATAAACCCATTGGGTTAACTTTGTCAAGGCCTTGTATCACAACAACTGCACACTAATGACCTTTAAGCTTAGTCGCACATTTACTTGCTACTGTTTCATTATAAATTAATGAAACAATCTTTACAAGGTGGGATAAAAAAATGATTTCATCTGAAATCATGAGAGTTCATTTGGACAGTTATTGGTTTTTAAAGGCACTAATAAAAATAAGAGGTGTCAACAGGTCATTTGCATACCATTCTGCTCCAATTGACTTAGACTAGATTTCTTTTCATTTGACTCCAATTAAAAATGCTTTCAATAATTACATTGGGAAAAAGTACACCTGAATGCATATTGAGTTTCCTTTAAAAATATAATTTAAAAGCAATAACAATTTTGTTTTCTTGTCCACAAAAGGCATCTTAATGACAATTTGTGATTTACATCTCTTTAATTGCACAATTAGTGGAACACATTTTAAAATCTTGGCATAATACAATTGACCTCCAAAATTAACTAAATGTATTCTCCAAAGTCAGATGTTTAAGAGTTATATAGTAAGGTTCTCCTAGTATTTTTTTAAAAAGCTAAATTGGTCATTACAGCTTTTGGAGGGGTTCTGTTCTATACTGCTTTCTGTGTCATACAGACCACTGGGACAGTTTGCTGTCTGCATAATCCATTGAAAAAAAACTAAAAAATGTGCCAGAGACCACATAATCGAGGCAATAATATGGATCTATTATCCAGTCTCGGCAGCACCAGCCATCTGTCTCCTCTAAGCACGGCTGGCAGGGAATCCAAAGACTTCTGAAAGAAGGTCTCTTGAATTTGTTTGGATTTATTAACATTTTCCCTTGACAGAACTGCAACTATTTGCGTCGATGGTTCAGGTCGAGAAGCCTCAACTATTCCCGAGCAGAATTTTGGAGAATGTGGCGGAAGGCGACGCGCTCTTTCACTGCATCTCAAAAGAAATGTCACCCGAAAATGCGTGTGGACTCGGAAGATGGCAGTCTCTCTCACTGTACGGTATTTCCGTATAATGCATCGTTTCAAACAGTACGATAAACGAGTGCCCCTTATTTTTAATATTATTTAAACAATACCCTTTTAAAGTAATCAAAGCAAGCTCATCGTCTCCTACCCATGCAGTACATTCATAAAGAAGAGCAGAAATCAGAGACACCTGCAGTTCCGTAGGGGTTTTGAATGAGTGTAGGAAGACATGTTGTCTAGGAGGTAAACTGAGCCTTGTGGGCACGCTCTGCAGTGGACTGGTATCCTCCCATTGACAGGTCAGGGCTGTCCAGTCCGGGTCATGAGAACGTGCAGTTTTTAATTTCGGCTCAGCTCTTCATTACCAGCGCTTCCCAGCTCATCGGGCCCTTAAAGACACCTACAGGAACAGCAGACACTAAAGCCCTCAAGACACGGACTGGACAGCCCCGATCCGTGAAGGTACTGAAAATGCTTTCGTTGGTGCTAACAGTCCAATTTAACTGTAGACGTGCCTGACTGCGTTGTACGTTGAAAACGGTGTAGCTTATCATTAAAAAAAATCTTGTTGCGTAAGTTGCATTAAAACCTTCAGAAGGCTGGGGAAAACAAAACTTTTCCAGTTTCATAACTTATTTTCCCGTTTTAAAAAAAAACAAATACCTATTTTGCCGTGGGAAGGCAAATATGCCACTGGCATATGTATCGGCTCACCACATATTTTGACATACGTTCACCAAGGAGAGGTCAGCAAATAAAAAAAAAAAACCCAACTACATCGAGCCGTCCAGCGTTTAATGTAATTCAGACAAACCACAAGATGGTGCCAGTCCCCAGGACAGCCTGCCCCGTGCACCAGCCATTAAGGTAACTCAAGCTGCAGGGCGAAGCGATACCGTCCGGCGGCGGAGCTGGGCGGCCGGCGAGGCGGGAGCGAGCGGAGCGTGTGCGCGTCAGGCGAGTGGAAACGGGGCGGAGGGAGAGGGCGCTCCTGCCGGGGAAGACGCGCGGCGCGCCTGCGACCTGTGCGGACTGCGGACTAGGAAACCGGGCGGAAAGAGAGAAGTTTATTTACTGACAGGGACCGCTGGGCTTTGAGAACCGGGGACGCCGAGGGGCGGAAAGAAAAGTAGCAGGTTAGTAAAAGATGCGTTGTTGTTTGCCGGGGCGAACCAAAGTGACTGAGGGTCGGTAGCGGCTACTGAAACTCGCTACGGGACACGATACTTGAGCCCCCATGTTTCTCTGCCGAAATGAAAAAGAACCTGTTCTGTCTGGCAGATCCGGCTGGAAAAAAAACGCCTTAGGACGGTCACCACGGCAATTTGCTGACCATTATGGGCACCTACACGTGTAGTTTGTATTTAGTGTGGGGTGTTTGTCTCCCTTTTGTCTCGGTGTTTTTACTGTTTCAAGTGCTACAGCGCGGAGTTGACTAATCTCATTAGAAAGCCGTGCCTTGCGGTTTTGATTCAAGTGCGGTGCGTTTCTTTCACCTCCTAGCAGCTAGGACCTCATGGCCTTTCCGTATTTATTAAGCATCTGTATCAAAGTGACACTTGTGGGACCGCGTATCTAATGGAGATCGCAAGGAAACCGTGTTTGGTAAGGCGGCGTAAACGCTGCATGTTGTAGGAGCAGTTTCAACGGAGGGGGGGGGGAGATTTCCAAGGAGGGCAAAAAAACTTGTTTTATTGTATGTTTTGGTGAAAAACAAATCGGGAACCGAGCGAGCGGTGCCGAATGTGTTCATTTGCAGATCCGATTAAATCGCGGGGGCAGGATATGGTCTTTCAGGTACAACGCCACGTTATTTAAGGAATGCCCCGGGAGACGCGAGCATGCTCCGATCTTGTTAAGGGTTCACAAACGTGGTTTACAACTCGGTGGGCCCCAAAGACGCCCCCCTCCACACTGGCCCGTTTGGGGAGGGAGTACTTTCACGCAGAGCAGCGGATGGGGAGCAGATAAGCGAATTGGGTCCTCTGGTTGTGTGTGGTTTTGCCGTCGTTTGATGTAGTAGCCACAGCCACCAACCTAAACTGCATTGTTGTTCTACTTAAGTCGAGATGTCGGGTTTCTAAAAGCAAGGATTTTCTTAAAAAGCGCAAACCACCTGTTTTCGCCTGCTTTAGGAAATAAACTGATACATACGTCGTGACTACGACTAAGATTTCTGTGGTTTCAGCGCGTTGTGGGTTTAAGGCTGGATACACAAACTCGTCGCTCCTAAGGAGGAGAGAGGTGGAGATTAGATTTTTATCTCACAAAGGCAACACCGCCGTAACTGCTGTGGCATTCTGACTTGTCTCAGTCTGGTATTGCGAAGAGCTGAAGTACAGTAAGGTCAGCCTGGTGGGGAGTAAATCCGTCGAGCTCCCCGTGTGTGCGTGTGCGTGTGCAGCCGGACTCCTGCGGTACCGTCTTGGACGCAGCGGGCTGTCGTGAACCGGCCGAGTACCGCGTTTTACTGCGACTACGCGAGGAGTTGTGTCCATCGGAAGCCGAGCAGCCCCGGACGGTGCTCTCTTTAAGCCCGCCAGCAAGAGCCCCGCGCCCGGCGGCAGCTGCCGCGCAGCCCCGCCGGGGATCTGCCTGATGCGGGACGCGGCTCCGGTGCCGGGGCGCTGCGCTGCTCTGTCTGGGCCAGTCGGTGCCCCCGGTGCGAGCAGCCGGGAGACATTCCAGGGAGCCGGACGCGAGTGCTGAGTCGGCTGGCGACACGTCCCTACAAGCCCGAGGTGTAGGTAGGTAAGAAGCCACCGACAAATGCCCTTCCTCCCTCCCGCCCGCCCATTTCAGCCGTGAGGACGATTTTCTTTACAAACCCGCGTTTCACTAAAGAATTCGTTTTGCCGGTCGTCGTGTTTCGGATTTTTTTTTTTAAAGAACGTGGTTATAAAACCCTTCATGTTGGGTGTTGGTCTTTTGTTTTGTTCACCGGTAGTCGAGCTGTTTTGAAGGATATTTTCTTTCCTGGCCTTTAAAAGGCGTTCACTCTTCCTACCTGTCTCATTTCAGGAAGAGGTTGCTCTGTCCCTCCCCCTCCAACTTTCGCACTATGCGGCGCAAAGCCCTGTTCCCTTTAAAGTTTTTTTGCAAGGATGCCGTTTCGTGAAAGCAGCGGCCGGTTGGCCAGCGAGTTTGGAGACTCTGGCGGGGAGTGTCGGAGTAAAATTCAACAGGAGAAAAGAATACACCTGGGCACGTCTGATCTAAATCCGGCAAAAGTAGGCCATTCAGTGTTGAGATAGGATGCGTGGGACATGAATCTGGCTTGAAGGTGAAAATGCTGTATTTTTAGTGCAGTTTCTGAGCAAGGTCATCTTATTCACTGCAGATGACAGATTACGCCACCTTCAATCTTTTACAGCTTTTGTTTGGCAGTGGTTGGGTGACTGTGGTCTGATAGATACTTTATTCAGGTGGGTAGCTGCATCAGCATGCGTAGGCTGCAAAGGAACAAGTAATAGGTTTATTCCACGCTGAAAAGAGAAGGCTCTACGGCCGAAACGTTGTGTTTTCTTCTCTTTTCAGCATGGAATAAACCTATTACTAGATACTTTATTGTCCACGACTGTGTAAATTTGTCTTTGTGCAAAAAAAAGTGCAAAACACACGCGTTTAACGTGAAAGTCACATAAAGTACATGTAATCACAAAAGCCGTCTGTACTGCATCAATAAAGGGATGGATAAATTGGTAGTCGGGGGACTACATTTACATACATTTAGAGAGCAGTTTTACTGCAGAGGAGACAAGGGACATCTTATACATGTTTGTATTTGAATTTGGTATCCTGTAGTTCTCCCTGGTGGGTGCCTTACAAATTGAAAATGGAGTGGGTACTTGGATTCAGCTGTGATGTTGCCTTGCCATTCTAAGAACTCTATTATCGAGTAAATTGCTGATCTGGGCCCATTGTTTTTCCTGCCATTTTCACAATCTGATCAAATTCATGAGTACTCTTTCTCGATTCATTGGAAGGAGCACATAGTAGATAACCAAATTCATCTCTGTTCTAGCAACTGTTGTTCCATTAATTAATTAGGAATGCATATTTGCTCAGAGTTATACTGCTGTTACACAGAGCATGTGAAGAAGGCCTAGTTTCCTGTCAGCAGGGAATAAACCTGTACCTGTTCCTTTGCAGCCTACAGCTACTGAAACAGCTTCCTACTCAAACATCTTCAGCCCATGTTGTAATCAAATAACAAAACACTTTTGTAGCGTAGTTCCCCATGCAGACTATTTAACAGGTTTTCTGGGATCTAACTAAGGGGAGAATGGAGACTTCCTAAGAGCCAGGAAGGGCTCTCCTCCCGTGAGGAAGATCTAGCATGTGTCTTCACAGCAGGAGCAGAAATATCACTGTCAGCTTTCTCCTGATCTCAGATCTGAGTGATACGTGTTATACAATTTGACAGATCTGACGGGAGACATCTCGTCGCCTTTTTTCTAAAGATGGGGAGGGAGACTGGTCCCGAAAGAGCACCTTGGTTGTTTAGGAAACTTAATGCTATAACTGAGATTAGAGTGGTAAGCGAGACCCCTTCATGGGAAGTGCTGAGGGAGGGCAACCCTTCTGGGTCCAGAGGAGCCGTAGTCGTTAATCTGATTGAAGATAATCCGTCCGTTTAACCTATCAGTGTGTCTTTGGACTGTGGGATGGACACCAGTGCACCCAGAGGAAACCCACATGAACACACAAGCTCCGCACAGATAGCACACTAAATCCAGATTTGAACCCAGGCTTCCTGGTCCAGTGCTAAGCACTGTGCTTGCATCCCTCCCCCACAAAACGCCACAGGCAATTTGCCTGCTGTGTTTATTTGTGGCCTTCTGTGGAAGAGGAAAGAAGAGAATTAGGAAGTGGGCAAATGGGAATTAAAAATGTTATTTCAATCCCCTTTTCCAGTGCCTTGTTTTGCCCTCTTTTGGAGGAAACCTGGATTTCATTTGCTGTCTGACAAAAAAAAAATGTTCAGCGGCCGAGAAGGCTGGCACAGTCAATTTTATATAAAGATTTGTACCGCGCGGTCTGACACCGAGATGAAGCTCAGTTTTGGATCTGCGGAGTGAAATTCAAGAAGTTGGGTCCTGTTCTCTGGTTGAAACACAACTGTTTACCGCTGGCAGCTAAAAGCATTTGCTGAGCATTGCACTTTTGTTGTTCCTGTTTGTTTTGAACACGTTGGTTTTTAGATGAAGGCATAAAAATACTGTTCTTCAGGCGTGATCCTGTGCAGCCTTGCCAGCTTTACTGTCTGTTAAATAATGCTGGGCCTTGCAACTGTCTGAGGGATTAAAAAAGCTCTGTATTTCAAGAGTTAACTGATAGCGGTGCTTACTCAGGGCAGTAATGAATTGAGCAATGCCGTGACTACAAGCTTGTAATGTACCAGGAGCATTCTGCCATGGTGACTACTTTTATTGTGGAAATTCCAACGATGTTGGCTGCTTCTGATAAGTCTGTGCATGCATCGATATGAAAGAACAGGGCCGCGTGGCTGGAAAATCTTAAAATCATTTCTCAGCCTCACCGTGAAGCTTGTGTGGCTTGTTTTATTTTCCACACATTTTGAAATGGATTTTGTATCTGGGGGGGGGGAAAACCCCAACAATTTGTCTTTTTGTGTCGTCCGTGAGGAATTTGTGTCGTCAACGGCGTTCAGGTGGATGCACAGCGTCAATGACAACTGGAAAAGAGCCTGAATTGAAAACATCTGTTTGTCAGAGTTCTGGGTCGGTGTGGTAAACGTGTTCTTTAGGAGGATGTGAGAGGGGCCGATTTGTGAATGTGGAGCTTGACTTTGGATAAACCTCCAGATCTGTTGAGATTTAAGGTGTCTTTTGGGGTTGGTGGAGATTAATGGAGTCTGGGAAGATTTCATCCTGTCGTCTTCGGGGGTTGGTGTGGTTGTGCCCGGGATTTAGCAGGAAAATGCACAAGCACGTCTTTTAATTTCCTTGCTTTTCATGAGTTTGTTGTTTAAAATTAGGGTGAATTAACTGGGGCTGGTGAACACCAATAGCATGTAATCTCTACCTCCCCTAGGGCTTCTGTTCATTGGCAGCAGCAGTGTTAGTGAAAATAAGCTGCAGCATGCAGATCCAGGCTAAGGAGCAGATCACATCAAAAGACAGTGATAAGAACTTGTGTTTGGTAATCTGTTGGGTTGCCTCCCATTACAATTAAACAATGTTGTAGGAAAGCAAAAAAAAAAAAAGAAAGGGAAAATACCCAAGTTTGCAGCAAAGAATATAAACAACGCCTCGATATCAGAGGTAGTGATGGCGTTTGTGTCCGTGTGGAAATGTGGGGTAAAAAGCGTTTTTGTAAAATCAAAAACAGCCTTTTTACCAAGGGTGTAACATAATGGCAGAGAATTGGAAACTTTTCCTCTGTGGTGGTCAAATCTTTTAGGTCTGCTGGAAGCCATTTTTATTAGTTTCTATTTCGGAGAGGTGGCACATGAGCAGGCTTGGTGGTTTGTTTGCTCATCTTATGTGACCGAGGAGAGTTAAATAAGGGCGAGCGATGAAGCTGCTGGCGGGCACTTAAATAGATGTGTGGCCTGTACAATTCCCGTTTGGTGGTAGAGGCTTATGTGGCACAGGGTAGGGATGAACTACTTAGCGTGAAGCATGGGGTTAAGATATCATTAAACCCTTTTCGAAGATCTAAAATAGTTTTACTACAGGGCGAATTGACAGAGCAGGGAGAATTAGTGATTATAGAAGAATCTGTGCCTAGAAACACTGAAGGCACTTTAAGAAAGCATTATGAAGCAGGGATAAGTTGAAAATGTGGATTTTTAGTGGTAGATTTATTAAAAGATATTTTTCTATGTAACCCATCAAAAAGCCAACTGCAAATCAGATATCCTTGGACAAGCGTCCATAACAAAGTAATAGTACCCCAGGGGTGCCCAGCCCCGGATATGAGGAGCTGCAGTCTGGCAGGATGTAATAGGTCACCCTTCATCGATGCGTGGGCCCCTAATAGCTCTGGTGGGAGAGCATGAGACTCATAGTCTCAGGGTAGTGGGTTCGTGTCCCACGTCGGGCGCCAGGTCCTCCATGTTGGAGGGTGGGCACAAGACTAACAATCCTGTCCCGTAAAAATAAATGTTACAGAAACAGCAACGGGATGTTGCCGCCCCTACATGCCGGAAGGCATAACAGGCAAACATCCATCCATCATCAATACGTAACGTCAGATCATCAGTCAGTAAAGAAGAGATCTCAAATGCATGGCAAGCGACGCCTGTTTCTTTGTGGCTGTCGGGAAGGGTTCAGCGCATGTGTTGCCCGAGCCCGAATCGTCCACAGGCGAAGCCGGCGCCCTTGGGGGCAGTGACTGTGTCCGTCTCGGAAGCACGGTGCCCCCCTGGGGTTCTCTCCCTCCGCCCCATCACGGAGCCCCGCTTCAGCAATCTCATGGATCGGTTTCAACAGGCCGTGTCCTGGCACGAACACCGTGGGGAAAAACGCAAGTCCCGCGTGCGCACTCGCTCTGGACTATCCTAGACTCCGGAGTGGTCTCCATAACTTTTTTTTATATTTAAAAGGAGAAAACGGAACAGGATTACACAACTCTTGTTAAGAATAAAGCTGTGGAGAAATGTATATGTCTTTAAATAAGTGAATGGAAAGTCAGCACCCTTGATTAGGACAAGTACTCCGTGCCAAACCGCGATAGTTGTATAACTGAATTTTCGCTGTTTTTTTATTAGTTTTCTTTCAAATAGTGTTTTGTGTCTTATTCCTCTTCCATGGATCGCCTTTGCCCAGAAAAGTACAATACTAGGTACTGCAATGGCTTAAGTTGAGGGTATTTGTATGAAACATATATACGTTTTCAAAAGAAAGATTGAAAAAGCATGGTGTTGGCGTGATTTCATGATTTCTGTGCAACCTCGGCTGTTCACATCTAAATAAAGATCAGCAGCAGGACCAGATCAGTGTCGCGTTGTGTAATACAGGGGGTGTTTTCAAGCATGAAGCAATCATGGTCTTGGTCTTCTTATCCTTTGGCCTTCTCTTGACTGCTATTTCCTAACAGCTGACTTTATTACTCACTAGTACACCCAATACATCAGCTGGGATCCTGTACTATATTTATATCCCACTCCTTAATCATTAAATTACTGTTTTTCCCTTCTCCCTAATCCAGTTATAACCATTTCCTCCTCTTTAAGCATTTGCTTATCTGAAGCAGCTGCTTCTCCCCACCTGAGAGCGGTCCTGGTCTCCCAAGCAAAATGTACAGCATGAATCCTCAGTGTCCATGTGAATTGCTGAAACATCCTGTACTTCAGGTTTGTGTGGTAAGGTGTGTAAGGAGAGTTTTATTTCAGTGTACTCTTCATGTTTTCCAAACTTTTTTTTTTTTATTCACCCCCATTATTTAGGGTGTTATTCCCGTCTTGGTACAAAACTCTTCTTACACACCTTACCACACAAATGTAACACATGCTAATGTCATGCTGACACTGTCTTCCGGTATGAATCAGACCAGATTTAGGTTGCTTCTCTGCATGCAACCTAGAACAGCTTTAATACCATAGACTGTGCCACCAGGACTCTAATCCAATAAGTACTTCAAAGAAGAAGCTCTTAACAATGAATATTCCTCCTGTTTGCTCAAAAAACGACAAAGCAGGAAAATGTAATGAGCTGCTGTTTGTAAAATACGACACCTGTTTGTACCACACACTCGGACGGCGAGCTATAATAATTCGGTGCTCAGTGAGAGATGTGAAACTTCCAGCTCGGGACATAACTGATGAGGTTGTTTGGCACAGACACCACCTTAGATACCTCCTGAAAACAGGTATGACTTCCGATCCGTATCTTCCCATCACCTGCTTCATTTCATCCATGGGGTAGTGCAGGGAAGGCGTTTTCCAAATTCCTGGCGACCAATGTGATTCTACCACTGAAGCAGGTGGACTGTCCACTGAGGTAGTTTAGAGACCCTCAAGAAGACGGCTGGCACACATTCTTTACTTAACTGGATCACCTGAAATTAATCTACTGATCTGTTCTGACTCCGTACATAAGGGGTGGAAAGCTTATTTGGTGTGGTGGGCCAGATCTGATTTAAATTGATGTTGAGCAGGCCATACATACCAGTAATGATCTAAATACTAGGCACAGCCATTGCATAGTATTATTATTTGTATGGTTCTGTGTTTATGCATTTTAAAACTAAATGCTGCTCTTTAAACTGCAGTTAGCCATCATTACAATTTCACTAGGTGGCAGTTTAGCAAAACCTGCTCATTACCTTCAAGTATGGGATGTTTATTTAGCATTCTTAACCTTAATCGCAACTATGATATTTTACATTTACATTTACACAGCACAAATCTCGTTTCTTTTTAAAAGAATGTTGTCCAAATGTCTTGTTAAAACTTTTTGTCAAAATTTATGCACGTTTTTTGCTACAACAGAAGGTAAATTTTAATACACCTTTGCTGTACGATGGTCATCTTCAAGATACAAACACGGGAACAGCACTGTTCCTGGTCTCTGGTTTGTTATGCCAGTTTATGCCTTTTGTAAGCCTCAGACTCTTTCATGTAGGCCCTTAGTAATCACTGTATACGCATGATTTTTCAAATGTGGATGTGGTTTTAAATATTTAGTACTGATTTGGTATTCTCCTTTATTAGTATAAATTGCAGGAGAGCCTGTCGCTGGACAGGCCTGAAATGGGTCAAACCCTTGGGGATTTGGAGTCGTCTTTTTCCGTCCTGTGAGAGAAACGGTTCTGAGGCCGACGTCTGTGACAGAGTGAAGGGATAGGTGACCACTCGGTGTAACGGTCCAGTGTCCGGGGGAAAGAATTTGTAAAAAAATCAAAGGAAAATTAGTCCCCTTTTGTATCATTTTTCTTGTCATTTTACACTACATTGCAAATTTCCTTTTTTGTCTGTCATTGTTTCAGGAGGTGGTCTGCGGCTTTTGTTCCTTAAGTCTGTTTTTCCCATCGGTCACAATGAGCTTCATACTCGCAATAAGGTTTTAGGAGCAGTGAATGCTAGGAAATTGCAAAGGCAGCCCTTTGAAGGTGGACTTTAGGAATCAGTTCTCTCAGATGTAAAGAGATGTAGAAGAATCATAGAGGACAGAGTTGTGGATGTTGACCCACTCTAGAGATTTCTATGTCTTGATTTTTCCAATTGTTTTTTTTTTTAATGTTTCTGTTGGCATCTTGAAGGGCATTGTGTGAGGTGTTTGACCGAAGCTCCTGATCTGAAGGGTGTCCTGCTCTCTTCCAGAGCTGCGCCGGCGAAGCGCGCCATGTGGGTTCCTCCAGCTTTCGCTCGGTGAACTTCGGAGCCGCACAGAAGATGGCCGACAAGGATGGCAAGTGCGACTTGGCCATAGCTCCCGGGCAGGTCTACGTGGAGGTGGAATACGACTACGAGTACAAGGCCAAAGACCGGCTCATCACCATCAAGCAAGGGGAGTGCTACATCCTGCTGAAGAAGACCAATGAGGACTGGTGGCAGGTGAAGAAGGACGAGAACACCAAACCCTTCTACGTGCCTGCCCAGTATGTGAGGGAGGTGCGCAAGGCTCTCATGCCTCCCCAGAAGCCCCTCCACTCCGGCGCTCTGGTCAAGGCGAAGCCCAACATGCTGGACATCCACCCCCTGCAGAAGTCGAACGAAAACCTGGCCAAGGCCCCCGAGATGACCAGTTTCGGCCGGCCCGCTCCCGGGCCCGTCACCCCGCCGGCCCCTCCCAGGGACGCCAACCAGAACCTGGGCAGCCCCGTGCAGAGCAAGAGCCTGGCGGAGCACTTCCTGAACAACAACAACATCAGCGGCGCCGCTGGCTCTCTCCCGGGGGCCCGGGCCGACTCGCCGCCGCCTCCCCGGCCGCCCAATCACAGCAGGTCCCCCGCGGCCGGGCGGAAGCCCCCCCTGGACCTGGAGGCCGACCGGACGCCCCCCCACTGCGACTCGGCGGGGGAGGGCTCAGAGAAGCACCGCCAGGACTCGGAGTCGGGAGACGAGCTGAGCAGCAGCTCCACCGAGCACCTGCAGGTATGCACAGCCGCGCTCGGCAGAGGCAGGGCGGTTCTGCCAGGACCGAGGGGTGCTTTCTGTTTGACCGAATAATAGTGTAATAGTGGCTTGAACAAGTATAATGCCTGATAGAGAGCTGTAGAACACCTGGAAGCTCTAAAATACACGCCCAGTAGAGGGTTTGTCACTTATTGACCTGTCAGATTTTTCTTTCCTTCTCTTGTGAATGCTTGGTGTGTCCCCTTGTGAGCCCGCGTTTCATGCATCTTGTGGACGGCACAGAACAGCACAGGGTTCTGCGTTGTTCTGTTCTTCCCCCGGTGCCAGGCAGCGAGTTTAGTTGAGGGCCTTGTTAAACATGGCCATGCTGTCTAAGGATACAGCCTCCGTGATTTATCATTTTATCCTGCAGTCCAAAAGGCCGGCTGTGTCTGCCATAAAGTCCTGCGCACTCTTCGCTTTTCTTGAGCCTCACAGGTATCTTGATGATTAGTACTGAGGAGACCAAGTAACTTCTGAGTTTGACCAAATGTACTTTTTCCCCGCCGGTCAGGTGTGACTGTTTCTTGTAATAAGGAATTGGGTGTCCAGACAGATCGATATTTGCTGCAGCATGGAGAGCCGGTGTCTGTTGAAGCCCTGTAAGAGCAAAGGGCTTTTCTCTGTTGCTCCCAGAACTTCGCAGTGCACAGAGGGCCCTGAAATGGCGATGTACAGAAGAGACTGAGCTGCTGCGAGATAGGATGTCTGAAATGAGACAAAGAGGTGGATGCCCCCCACTGCTAAGATTAGGAGTCTTTCAGATGCTTGGATGCTGGATTTCAGTGTCCCCCACCCCCTCCCCCCCAATTATTTTCGCTGTGCATAGTAATCTGAAGTGGTTTATTAAGCAAATAGGCTGAGTCGCCACCTTTTAATCCAGCCGCGCATTAAGACGCATTGCACTTGCTTTGTTCTCTTTGCCAAAAAAAGCTGTGGAAGTGGCTGCTATAGAACAAAACCAGAGACAATTAATAGAAACTAGGTCACATCAGCAGAGGATTCATCCCCATGTCTAAATTGGAGAATCAGAGGGCTGTAGATCCAAGATACGGCATCTCGTTTTTAATTGGCCGCTACAGAGACTGGCCTGCGGAAGGGATGGTCTTGAATGCCTGATCAGCTCACGGTTTTTATGAGAAAGGGATCATCTGGCCGGGTTCCCTGATCTGTGGTGTAACTACCTGAGCGATGCAGTTCAGCTCTTGGAAAATTCCCCATAAAAGTGCCGTGCTGAAGAGCTTCGCTGTTGCGGGTATTTCTCTCACTGCTGTTTTGCCTTCCCGAGTTCTGTCGGGGATGTGCTGTAGATACCATCAAATTAACTTGTCATTTATACATGCTACATTTGATGAAACCCTTACGTTTAAGCAAAAACAGAAACTTGTGACTGCAGCAAACTCGCGAAAATATCAGTAGAATGACAGTCGTGTCTGATCCCTTCCTTGCCTGAATTCAATATCCCAAATCCCTGTACTTATTTTTTTGAAAAACATAAATGCATGAAGCAATTATTTTGATGCTCACTATTCTTGGGTGTCTTCTGCTTCAAGAAGTTTCAAGAAGACAAATTAGCATGACGAGGCCAAAATGATAAGCGGTCTGTTTGCCTATAGACCGGCAAATTATAAAATGCTTTGATTTGAAAAGTATGTTTTTTCACAAAGTCCCGGTTCTGCCTTTGTTTTATTTTGATGTTTAATGTCAAAAGGGCCTCTGAATATCATTTTCCAGAGTCATACGAACTCTATGTAGGGTCATATATATAGAGAGAGAATGAGAATATAAGACAGCAGCTGTATCACTCTGCAACTTACAACTGGCAGCCCACTAAAGCTCAGCAGGTGCCTGGCCAGTATCTGGATAGGAGACGAGGTTGGTGCTGGAAGAGGTGTCAGTGGGACCAGTAGGGGGTGCTAACCCTGCAGTCTGTGTGGGTCCTAATGCCCCAGTATAGTGAAGGGGACACTCTACTGTAAAATGCACTTTCCTGACTTTCTGTGGTCATTATAAATCCCAGGGTGTTTCCCGAAACGAGTAGGGATATTAACCCCGGCGTCCTGGCCAAATTTCCCCCTGGCCTTTACCAGTCATGGCCTCCAAATAATCCCCATCTATAAACTGGCTTCATCTCTCTGTTCCCCTTCCCTGTGGTAGCTGATGTGTGGGGAGCGTACTGGTGCATCATCCAGGTGGGGGCTGCACACTGGTGGTGGTGGAGAGGATCCCCCGTTGCCCCCCCCCCCCAAAGCACTTTGAATGGAGCGTCCAGAAAGATGTATGCGTAAGGATTGTTATTATATTTTGATTGAACATAAGCCAGCCTCTCTGTAGAGGTATCCTGGCCAAGCGACGCAGTGAAGGCGACTCTCCACGCTGAGCCCCCTGTGAGCGTCTGCGGTGTCCAGGAGAGAGAGGGGGAGAGAGATGACTGAGCCTCCGCAGGCCGCAGTGCAGCGACAGCTCCGGCGCTTTCCTGAGCTGTTGGCACGAGCGTTGTGAGCCACGTCCAAAACGTTAGCTCTTATAATGAAGTTTCTTAAGCTTGCTTAATGGCTTTTATTTGATTTTGCTGTTATTGCGGGTTTCTCTTCAGGGTTTGCAGAGACCCCAAAAGACATCAGCTGTTGTTAGCGGTAGGTGTACCAGTTGTGGCAAGACTCACGTCGGCTCTGCTGTCTCGAGGGCCCAGGCAGACTGTGACAAGTGTTTTTTCCACATTAAGGACACAAAATAACATTTCAAAGCAGCTGCCGCGGGCTTTCTTTAACCCCAGTGCCGCCATCCGCCCCTGGTTTTTGAAGAAGGTATTTCTTGGTCTAGCCTGTCTTGATCCTTTCCTTTGTCGTCGTTGTATCGGAATTGACCGGTCTGGGTGTTGTGAGGCCTCACCTCGTTGTGAGGCCTCACCTCCTGAGTCCGGCTGTCTGTCTGAAAGAGCCGGCGGCGGTTCATTGCGTCACGTGGCCGGAGACGGACGCGCCGCGCTCCCGTCGGCACGCGGCCGGTCTTGTTCGCTCCGGAATGTTCTATGGATCGTGAGGGGATGGGCATGGGACAGGGTCTCTGCCTTGAAGAGGCGGCGGCGTCTGAGCAGTATGGGAGACGGATGCCAGGCTGCTTTTACATGCTCTTTTCCTTTAAAGGCTTTGTACAGTGCGCAGTATGGGAAAGTGTGTTGTTCAGAAACCCGCTGGACCAGGGGAAGGTCTGTGTAACTTGTTACTTTCCTTTGAAGGGTGACAAATTAAAAAATAAACATTTGCCAGTGCTTTTTTTTTGTAAAAAACTTGTAAACTTAGTTTTTTTTTAAACTTGCAAAAACACTAGGTTGTTTTTCTTCAAAGGATATCTTGCTTGCCATGGTATCATGTTGTGACTCCTTAAGTGGAGGGAAACACACTATGGCTTGCATAACAAGATAGAGAGCCACTCTGACTAGAGTATAATGGGAAAGGAGTATGTTTATCCTCTTTACAGCTGTTGGCAAATCCTGCACTAACGGCAGGCCGGAGGAGAGCCGGCTGTTTTAGGGAGGGGTGCAGCTCGGTGGGTTGCTCTCGGTTTTCCCCATTTTCACCAGAGGTGCTCTCCTCCCCACTGATAGCTGGTGTGTGCTGTGAGCGTTCTGGCGCACTATGGCTGCCGTCACATCATCCAGGTGGATCCTGCACATTGGTGGTGGTGGAGGGGAGTCCCCATTA